GTTGGGGCATGTGTGGAAGGCAACCAATCAATGTCTCTCTCTCTCTCTCCTACTTTCCTTCCACTCTCTCTAAAAATCAATGAAAAAAATTTCCTCAGGGGAGGATTAAAAAAAATTAAGAAGAAAACTCATAGAGAAAAGGTAGTATCTTTAATAAATGGTTCTAGAAAAACTGGATATTAAACTGGACCTCATCTTGTACCACCCACAAAAATTAATTTGATAATATAAGATAATACAGTAAAATGAAACAAACCACCTCTTAGACCACCTAAATAATTACCTGTTTGGGTAAAGTTAGGTTGTGGGTGCTCTCACTATAACCAATAGCTGTGAAGAACTTATCTTTTTCCTCTGGAGTCATAAGGTCATCAATAGCTACAAAGAAAAGACAATATTTTAAAATCAATTGCTTCAGTTTTACAGGTACAATAAAAAAAAATCAAACCAAACTAATAAGTGCCCTAAAATCAATAAAAACAAATGCTAAAGCAAAAGCAGCCAGGTGATTTCCTCTAATATACTAAAATATCATGCCTTTGCTCTTTTAGATCAAGAAAAAGCAGAGAGACCATTAAGGAAATTCAGGTCTCCTATATGGATTTTTAATTCCCTAAGTATTTTAAAAACTAAGAGAAACTTCTAATTAAATATCCATGTAAAAAGTAACAATTAGGAATGTTAAATGTAGTGATTTCTGAATTTCAACTTTTTAAATTTCACACAAATAATTTTTCTCCAAAAAAAAAAATATCAAAGTTTTGCTTTAATTTGAAACACAGAAATGTGCCAGCCTGATGTATCTGCTTATATGTTTGCCACATTGAGCTACTTTTATTTCAAAATTATGTGTATGTGTGTGTGTGTGTATATATATATATATGGCTAATATGAAAAATGTCCCCTTGGGAGTTCAACCGGGAGACAAGGAGTTCGATCGCTCGCTATAATGTGCGCTGACCACAGGGGGTGGCGCGGAATGAAGAAAGGCCCCGGCTGGCAGCCAGCAGCCAGCAGTGGGGGAAGGAAAGCCCTGGGCAGCAGCTGGAAGGCCTCGATCAGCCCTGATCACCAGCCAGGCCTAGGGACCCTATCCGTGCATGAATTTCATGCATCAGGCCTCTAGTTATGAAATAAAATTCAACCAACTGGCTAAAATATAATTTATATAGTTTGTCTTATGGGCATACAATAAATTACTTGACTTGGAACTTACTTTCAGGAATCAAAGATTCTTCATCTTTTTTCTTACTTTCCTTCTTACCCCAAAACCCACTAAACCAGCCTCCACGTTTCTCGCCTGCATCAGTAGACTTGTTCTTTAATTTCTGCCCGGACCGAATCACCTAAAACATCAAAATTTAAAAAATTAATTAAAGAGTAAATGTCCTCTTCATTTTCAGGTATAGTCGGGTAAAAACAAAGCTTAACTTTTTTAAACACTACAATAGGTTAACTATAGTCAAGAAAGACAGTTCCTTCTGAAATGATGTTTAACATGTGATTAATGTAGTCTATTAATTTACTTTCCACACCTACCAATAGCATTTTGCTGCATTTTGTTAAGAATTATAGTCAAGGATTCCAGTGATATGTCTCTCAAATTTTTAAGTTAAGGAGCCACTAGGACAGCATATTTCTGAGCAATATATCTTCCAAATATTTAAGCTAAGGAGCCACTGGGACTGAGGGGATAATGCTTCCACATTCAAAAGTCTGGCTACAGGATGAGTAAATGCAGTCCATGAAAGCCAGAGTATACAGAGGGAAATCCTAGAGGGAGAAGAGCCAGAGAATGGGATATCTGGGTAGAAGTCTGCACAAACCTCAGTCTAACCTAAGCTTCCCATGTATGAAACTAACCTCAATGAAAGTAGCAAAGGTTCAGAGACCTGAACTGAGATATAAACCATCTGCACAACTCTCAGACTCCTATACTGTTCATGTGCAAAATAGACCCAAACCAACATACAAAAATTGAAACAAATAGATTGAGATTTGAACCACTATCCATAGAAGGCATGTGCTAAGATAAAAAATGTCCAACAGTTTCTGGAGGATAACAGGACACAGAGACTACACAATATAATATTCACAATGTCCATAAATATAATCAAAATCACTTGATATATGAAAACAAAACAAACAAAAACCTAGGAAAATATGACCAATTATCAAGGAAAAGGATAATCAACAGATGCCAATAACCAAATAACCTAGATGTTGAAACTAATGTTACATTAGATAAAGGAAAATACTCTTAAAGTTACTAAAATGTAAGAATTTTTGGCAGAAAAATAAAATCTTTATAGGAATTCAATAGGAATTATAGACCTGAAAATGGAAATGATAAAGGAAAGAGTAAACTTGAAGACACAGCAATAGAAATTTTCCAATCTGAAGAACAGAAAGAAAAAACATTAGTGGGGAAAAAAATGAACAAAGCCTCAGGAACTTGCGATATATCAAAACATCATAGATATGTATATATGGACCTACATATGTACATATACATACATATTTATTTATGTGTGTTCATAAAATCATTGTAAGAAATAATAGCTGAAACATCTCACATTTGGGAAACCTAATGGTCAATTCTCAGTCTTCAGGTCAGTTGACCAATCAGATGCACCTGTCACAGTTGATCCCTCCCTCTTCCTTGCAATTCTTTCTTCACTTGGTTTTGAGGATATTATATTCTGAGAATTTTCCACCTATATCTCTGGCAACTTCTCCATGGTGACCTTTACTGGTTCCCATCTCTCTGACCTATAAACAATAGAATGCTACAGGTCTTTAGAGTCCACCAATTTTCTAGCTACTCTAACTTACTAGTAGGTAATTTCATCCAATGTCATAGCTTTAAATGCCATCTGTGTGCTTACTCCTGCTAAATTCATATTTCCAACACAGACTTCTAAACTCTACATTCACGTATCCAATTGACTACTCCATATATCCACATTAATGTCTGAATGGTAGCTAAACTTTATAGGTCCAAAACTGAACTACTCATCTCCTATCTCACCCAAGCTTGTTCCAGCTAATCTTCCCCCTCTCATTTCATGGTAACTCCAACTTCCCAACTGCTCCAAGACAAAATTCTTAGTCATCTCTGATTTCTCTCTCTTAAAATCTGAATTTAGTCCTTTGGGAAATAATGGCTCTCCCTTAAAACATATGCAGAATATTTTTAATTTTTTTTTATTGATTTCAGAGAGGAAGGAAGAGGGAGAGATAGAAACATCAATGTTGAAAGAGGATCATTGATCGGCTGCCTCTTGCATGCCCCCTACTGGGGATCGAGCCTGCAACCTGGGCATGTGACCTGACTGAGAATCCAACCTCCAATGGGGACCTTCGGTTCATAGGTTGATACTCAACCACTGAGCCCCACCGGCTGGGCGAAACATATCCAGAATTTGACGCTGAGGCATCACTCCATCGTAACCATTCTCAGCCACACTACCATTATTTCTCAAATATTTCAAGAACATCCTAACTAATCTCTGTTTTCAGTTTTGCCCTCCTTTTTACAGTCTGTTTTCAAATTAGCAGCCAGAGGAAGTTTTAAAACCTAAGTCAGATTATATTATTCTATTCATGAAATGGCTCCCTAATGCAGAGTAAAAACCAAAATCCACAAAAACTTAAAATGAATTGCTTTTAAGACCCTACAGCAAGCATGTCAAACTCAATGGCTAACACAGGCCAAATAAACAAGGTTTAAGTTTATGTAGGCTGCAAAAAAATAAAAGCTTCAATTTTCAAAGAAACATAGGTTTATTTCGATAGAGACATGCTGAATACTAAGGGCTGAAATAAATGAGTAATCGTAAACATAAACAGAACATTTTAATAAAAAATAATATTTTCTTGAACATTAACTTACCAGACACTGAACAACTGCACAAACTAATAAGCATAACAAAAATATACCTATTTTTCTTGTTCTCCAAAAGCTAAGTATTTCCTGTTGCGCACACCAAACAAGTCAGTACAAGACTAATGACATGGCAATAGGCTGCTAAAATATTCGCTGCTAGTATTAGTAGAGAGAAAAGGTGCACCTGGGGAAATGAATGCAACATGATTATTGTAATCAGTCATTAGCGAACATTGTAGTTTGTTATTAATAATCCTGTTTAACAGGATATTGTAAAAATTAAGTTACGAAATTTTATTAAAACATTTTTTACATACCATTATATTGGCTGGGCCACAAAAATACTCGTTGTGGGCCGAATTTGACATGCTTGCCCTACAGAATCTAGCATTCTCCATAACTCCAACAATCACCACTCCAACTCCTCCACTACCTTCCTTCTCTGACCACGTTAACCACCATTTCTCCTGGCTCTCACCACTCTACTCCCCGTAATGAGCTAGTTATGTTCCCACCCCAAAAATCTTTCAACTTGCTATATTCCTTCTGATTGGTACACTTTCCCTCAGGTATCTTTCTGGTTGGTTTTGCTCAAATGTATCCTTCTTAGTGAGACTTTCCCTGACCATCTTATTTAAAACTGCAACCCTATTATGATCTCTGCCTAGCCTTAGCACTCTTTATATTAATTTCTACATTATTTTTATTTACTTTTTTGTTTATTATCATTCTTCCTATTATAATGTAAGGGATTTTTGTCTGTTTTGTTCACTTCTGAATGCTAATGCAAATGATAATGATGATGATAAAGAAAAAAGTCACTTATTTAGTAATTGTTATATGCCAGGCACATAACAGTCTAAGTCAGTGGTTCTCAACCTTCTGGCCCTTTAAATACAGTTCCTCATGTTGTGACCCAACCATAAAATTACTTTCGTTGCTACTGTTATGAATCGTAATGTAAATATCTGATATGCAGGTTGATCTTAGGAGACCCCTGTGAAAGGGTTGTTCGACCGCCAAAGGGGTCAAGACTCACAGGTTGAGAACCGCTGGAAGTGGTTTACATCAATTATCATGCACTACTCACAGTAACTCTATGATGTAGGTACTATGCATTAATCCAATTACAAATGAGGAAACTGAGACACAGAGAGGTTACATAGCCAGCCCAAGGTTACACAAGTATTAGTTGGCAAAGCTGGGATTAAAATCCAAACCATCTGACTCCCAGGTCCACACTCTTTAACCATAATGCTAGTATAGAGATTTCCAAATGGTGTGATGCAAGAATTTCTAAAACACACAAAACCTGACTAATGGTCAGGTATACTGACCTCTTTACTCTTAGATTGCAAAAAAAAAAAAAAAAAGGCAACAGTAGAGATTTCCTGGTGGTGTGATGCAAGAATTTCTAAAACACACAAAACCTGACTAATGGTCAGGTATACTGACCTCTTTACTCTTAGATTGCAAAAAAAAAAAAAAGGCAACATACAACACAAGAATATCCATCCAGTGTGATTAAGTCAAAATTGTCAGATTTGCAAAAAATACATTTTTGATACGCCACAGAATTTTAGTTATTACTTTATGTGTGCCATAAGATTAAAAAAATTGAAAATCACTGTGCTAGCGTGATGGGCACTCAATGAGTATTTGCTAAGTAAATGAATGCACAAGTATATATGCTTCAAACCCATTCAAAAAGAGAAGCATGTGTATGAAGTTTTATTAATGTAAAAAACTAAAACAATATACAGAAATGCATTAACAATAGTTATCTTTGGTGTGTGACATAATGGGTAGTTTCTATTTTCTTTTCTTTTTTTGTAGATCAATATTTTCTAACTTTTCTATAATAAGTTGTATTGCACTTGTAATTCATTTTTTAAATACCAAAAAAAGTCATGTTACAGAATAATAGAAAAAACACATAACAATGCAGACAAGGTGCCAACTGAAATAAATCAGCATTTATAAAACACTTATGAACAGATTGATTCCAATTTTGGGGGGAAAAAAGAAGAGAAGAAGAGACAGAGGAAGAGGGAAAGAAGGAGAGAGAGAAGGGAAGAAAAAATGTCAGTGAAGTAAAGGAGGAAGGAATGGAGGGAAGAGAAAACAAAGCAAAGATAAAGTGAAAGAAATGGCTAAGAAGCATAAATAGGTAGGTACGCATGCATGGGGGAAAGACCTAAGAGTCTGTATGTCAAAAATGTTAACAGTTAGCATTCAGTGTTGCTAGAATAATGGATGACTTTTATTTACTTTCTATTGGGGGTGGAGGGGGGAGAGAGTTCAAAATTTTTGTCATAACATTTTTTTAAATTTCCCCTTAATGTCACCTTCCCCTTCCCCCCAATATTTTAATTTTTTCCTGAGACAAAATTAATCTGTGAAAATTCAATCTTTATTCTCAATTAAGCAAATCTCAACAACATCCTATGAAACTTAGCTTTCTTGATCCTAGGTTTAAGGGAGTAGTTGTAACATGTTTAAAACATAAAATCAGCTAATAAAAATAATTACCTCAACTTGTGCTTGTTGCCTTGCTAAAATTATGTTAAAAACATCTAGAGTCTTCTCCAAATCCTGTAAAATAAAGACAAGGAAAATGATCATTAGATAGAATACTTTTTTCTTCAATGATATCCAGGCTTACTTATTAGTCCATGAACAAACAGTATTTGTGATCAAATGAAAGTTTAAGTATAAATTTGAATATGCACTTGGCTTTTACATTTTTAACTTTTGCAATATAAGAAATAAGTTTTTCAAGGAAGTAAATCCTCAATAAGTATAAAAATAAGAATTTTAATGAGACCATTACAATACATAGATAGCCATATATGCAATGGAAACAAGAATATCTAGAAGGGGTATTATCCTATAGTTCTTACTTCTGACTCCCTCTATTCTATATTATTTTACAATCATTGTACTAAAGGCACCATTATAAAACACAAAATTTTTAAATGTAAAATTCTGCAAATCACAAGTAATCTAAAGTAGAAAGTGATTTGGGGAATTTACATAGATGTATGTAAGAGAAGCTCCAGTCATTGTGTTCAGTTGGTTGGAGCATTGTCCCGTTCACCAAAAAGGTTACAGGTTCAGTTCCTGGTCAGGGTACATACCCTTGTGATCTCAGTCAGGGCGCATACAGGAGGCAAGGGATCAACATTTCTCCCTCATATCAATGTTTCTCTCTCTCTCTCTCTCTCTCTCTCTCTCTCTCCCCCTCCCTCTCTCCCTCCCTCTTCCTCTCTCTCTAAAATCAATAAAAACATATCCTCAGGTTCATTAGATTCCACATACAAGTGAGATCATACAGTATTTTTCTCTGAGTGGCTTATTTCACTTAGCATAATAATCTCCAGGTCCATCCATGCTGTCTTAACAGATCAGAGTTTTATCCTTTTTACAGCCATGGAGTATTCCAAACAAAACCTAATAAAGAACCGGAGTCTGAGATGTCAGAGGGAAGGTGGGTGGGGTGTACAGGATGAAAGAAGGTGAAGAGAATAGCCAAAGAACATATATGCATAGCCCATGGACATAGACAACAATGTGGTAAGGGCCAGAGAGAAAGGAGGGCACGGTCAGGATGGAGGGGGGCAAAGGAGAGAAAAATGGGGGACATCTATAATAAAGATAACAATAACAATAACATATTATTTATTTATTTATTTATTTATTTATTTATTTATAATCCTCACCCAAAGATATTTTCTTAATTGATTTCTAGAGAGTGGAAGAGAGGGAGGAGGGGGAGAGAGAGAGAAACACTGACATAAGAGAGACACATTGATTGACTGGCCTCCCGCGTGCACCCCTACCAGAGCTGGGGAACCTACAACCGAGATATGTGCCCTTGATGGGAATCAAATCTGCAACCCTTTGATCTGCAGGACAACACTAACCACTGAGCCAAACCAGTCAGGGCAAAAAATAGAATATACTTTTAAAAATATATCCTCAGGTGAGAATTTTTTTAAAAAGTAATCCTAGTAACCTGGGTGTCAGGTGCTCTAAGTGTTATCTTATGCACATCTCACAACTCTATAAAACAGATATTGTTTTCATTTTGTACATGAGAACATGGTACCTGAAATGTTTAGAAACTTGATACTTTTTCTAATATATAATACTGGTGATTGTCATATGCTTCATAATAATAGGAATTCAATTCTTTTTTAATATATTTTTATTGATTTCAGAAAGGAAGGGAGAGGGAGAGAGAGATAGAAACATCAATGATGAGAGAGAACCACTGATCAGCTGCCTTCTGCATGCCCCACACTGGGGATCGAGCCCACAACTTGAGCATGTGCCCTGACTGGGAATCGAACGGTGACCTCCTGGTTCATAGGTCGATGCTCAACCACTGAGCCACACTGGCCAGGCAGAATTCAGTTCTTTACATTATGAATTTGTGGCAGAAAGTTATATAATCAAAGTCAGATGATATTAAGCAACTTATATATTCAGTATGATGTTTTTCTTTGTTTCAAAAGGGGGTAAGTAAGACTCCTCCTATCTTGAGAATACAGCTGTTTTTTATAAATAATAATTGGAACTATTTTTTAAAAGCCACTAACAAACCTAATAATATACACCTAGCTAATAATAAACAGATCTAACATTGATTTTCTATACATTATTACAAATACCAAACATATTTCTACAAATCGTTTACAGTAACCCCATTTTATCTAATATGAGGATGGATGAGAAGGATTTTTCAAAGAAGATAAAAATTGGGGGAAAATACTGTGCATTTTCCCATAAAATTCTCTCAAAAGAGATTAACATTATTCTTTCTAAATCATATTTTAATACAAATTAAATTTATAAAAATTAACATTAAAGGATGATTTAACAAATAATACCTTTCATCAACATATGCAAGATATACCTGAATTTGTTTCTGTATTTCTTCTGGGACTTTAGTCTGGGTCAGCTTGGTTTTGTAGGCACATTTATAACTCTTGAGCAATTGCCTGTGATTTTTTATGTTACTCCATGACCACATATGTGTACACCTTCTTATATGAACTTCAAGAATAGAATCAATTGCATATTTCCACCTGCAAATCAAAAATTTTTAATGTACATCTGAATATAGAGGTTTAAGAAAAAGCAGGAAAATAGCTTTGACTTTAGACCTAACCTGTTATACTTTTTGTTATTAACTCTTTTCTTGTAAGAGCTCAATAATAAGAGTTCAATTTCCCAGTATAATTTTCTGACTTAAATAGATTATGAAATGAACAAAGCACTCCAGGAAGAGGGTTTATCAAAGCAAAATCACAAAGACACAAAATGATTTGCTGTGCAAAATTAATAGCATCCAATATGGTTAAAACATTGAGTCCATGTGGATGACTAAAGTGCAATAAGACCAAAAAATGTTGAAAGTCTTGAATACTAAATTAAGAATTTGGAAATAATCTGGGAGTAGAAGTACAACAGAATGTATTTATGAAAAAAAGTAACAAGGACATAATATAAAAGATAACACTCTATGTCTATATAAAAGAAAAAAAGTAGCTTCATTATGTGGCTTTAAACATGTCTTAACTCTGAGAATCCCTAACTATATGACTATGTTTCTTATTTTTTTAAAAATAATTCTAACTTACCATTGTCGACCATTGGTATGAAGAGGTACATAAGGTTTATATTTCCTGTAAGGGGCATTTCTAACCATGTAATCCACTGACTCCAAAAGGTCAATCATACTTAAGTACTATTAAGACAAAAACAAACTTATATTGATTAGATTGCACACACGAGTAAACACTAAATAAAATAAAGCTACTTAATCGCCCATCTGACCACCAATATAACAATTCTGTGTGTCTGGTAAATAGCTCAAATAGAGGAAAACACACACACACACGTAAGGACTGTAGGTAAGATAAAGAAAAGGGCAAGTTAGCTTCTTCCTCTTTATTTTTCATAATACATTTCTACCTAAGGGTTACATATGGCTATTCAGCACTTAAAAGGTGGATAATCTGAACATAAATGTATTCTAAGTGTAAAATATACCACAGATTTCAAAGGCTTAAGGAAAAAAAGGATGTATAATACCTTAATTTTTAAAATTGAATGCATGTTAAAATGATAATATTTTAGACAGGTTAAATAAAATGTTATAATTTTAATTAATGTCATCTTTTCTTTTTACTTTGCTAATGTAGCTACTAGAAAATTTAAAGTTACATATATAACTTGCATTATATTTTTATTAGACTACACTGGATTAAAAGCTCAATTAGTTAATCCCTGCCCTTTTTTCACTTTCATTTCTCCAGGTCTGTTATCCAAACTCCCTGGGCATATAACCAAACTTGAGAAACAAATTTTTAAAAAGCCGCCAAAATAACTGTTCTAAAAAATAAGTAATATTGAATATAAGAGTGCCTGCTATTAAAATCTGAGGAAGAAAAACACATTAAAATCTCCATCAACAATTGGGAATTAAATGTAAATAATGTAATTCACTATAATTTGGTAAGACTCTCCACTAATAAGGAAAATATCAGATAAAATAAATTTCTTAAATTTGATACTTTCCAAAAAATATGTATAATATATCTATTTTTAGGAGTCAAATATTAACATAAGAAACCAAAAGAACCATCAGAACATTGGAGAAGGAATAATCACAAAGGACAAAAGCAGTCGAAATTCAAGGCTCATCAAAGTTAGAAACATCCAACTGAATGATACCTGAGGTTTGGTCAGTTCGATGGCAATATTTTGTACTTCTATGTTCCCATCAAGTTTGGGTGTTTTGAGCTCTGTTTCTGCATAAGGATTCATGTAGAGTTTTGCAGAGGCTGATATTGGCTGGAAAACTGAGAACACATGAGAAGAAGTAAGATAACCTCTATATGCTCTTACATATGAATGACTAAATAATTTTAAGAACACTGTTACACTGAAAGTAAAAAAAAATTATAAAACATATGTAAAAGAGAGAACTACCAAAAAATATTTAGGTATCTATTTATCTGCATAATACCAACAGTCAAACTCAAGGGTTAAAGTGGAATCCCCAAAAAGAAAATTGGGGTCCTGTGCTTCTAAATAAGAAATGTGCAAAATACAGACAATCTACGCTTGGGAATTCACACTCTGTAAAATTAGGCTTCTGCTCCTTGCTTCAAGACACTTAATGATTTTACTATTCATTTAAAATACTAATACAAGGTAGGAAACAAAAAAATTTTTTTAATCCTCACCAGAGAACATGCTTACAGATAGGGAGAAAGGGAGGGAGGGAGGGAGGAAGGGAGGGAGGGAGGAAGGGAAGGATGGAAAGTGGGAGGAAGAAAGGGAGGAAGGGAACTGAGGGAGAGAGGGAAGGAGGGAGGGAGAAATATCAATTGGTTGCCTTCCTTGAGTGCCCTGACAGGAGGTCGAACCAGCACCCCAGTTTTGTGCCCTGACCAGGAATCAAACTGGCAACCTTTCAGTGCACAGGACGGCACTCAACCAACTGAGCTACTCCGGCTGGACAGTAGGAAACAAAATTTGATTAATTTCTGTCTTATTTAATCACTGCCAGAATTTAGGAACAGAACCATGAATAAAATTCATGTAACCCAGAAAAAAATTGCTTACTACTTTACAATTTTCAAAACAATCACTGCATATATTCTTAGAATAAACTAAAGAAAATATTTTTAAAAGTGAGAAGTAGTATGAAAAGGTGTATTAGGAAAGATAACAGAGCAAAGTAAAGTGATAATTATAACTTATAATACTATTAAAATTATATAAATTATGATACCTTATAAAGTGTTTACAGTCTGCATGATAATATAAAATTTCAACTAATTTAGAGTTTATTTATAAGTGGAAGATGCCTAAGAATAAAGTTGGAGAATTTTCTGAACTAGTTCTGTCACGAGTAAAAGTGCTTTCACAAACTAGCAGCATGTGAAAACCTTGTCATCAGTAAATAGAGAGGCCAATGAACATAAAAGAAAAAGTGCCAACTCTTCTATAACAGCAATCAGTCATAAAAGGATATGAAGAAAACAATAGTGAACAGAGTGATATGGAATACAGAAGAACATGGGCATAAAATTTGAGGATGAGCATAAAGGAACATAGTAAATGTAAACAAATCAATAGCTTCTGTAGACTAATGAAACAGAAATGGAAAAAACAGATGAGATACATAAATAAGCAGGCAGATTTGTTAGAGATCTATTTAAAAGGAAATAAAGGCAAGGCTGCCAAGGAAAACTCACATAAAAAAATCTCTAATGTGGTTGGTTTGTCTTAGCACTGCAATAGTGACATGCTAGGGGTGAGACTGAATACCAAGATCTCAGAGAGACAGTTATGAAGCAAAGCAAAGAAAACCTAATTCCTAAAACAAAGAAGATTATAGCAAGGTAAGAAGGAAATGTGGAGGTCAAGGGCAGTTAGCTGTTAGGAGTGAACAATAGCCACATTGTCCTTGTCTTCCTTATTCTTCAGCAGTGTGTGTGTTATAATCTATTCCTAAATAATTAGTTACAATCCAAACATGCTATATCATAAAATTAAGGTATAAAATTAATACTTTCTCTTTGTCACAGTAATTTTATCAGAAGAAGTATACTAAAATGAAGTTTTTAATTCCAGGCTTCCTATAACATAAAATAAGCTTTTACCATTACTTACTATATTGATGGCTTGGTAGAATATCATTACTTGTAAGAATTTCACTTTTCAGATGATCCTTAAAAAAAATTGAATTATATGAAAATTAAAAATAAAATATTCAGCCACATATACAAAAAAAAAATACTTGGTCTTACATCAGTACCTTTATTTCCTCTTTGTAATTAGCAATCCATTAAAAAAAACAACACTAAACTTTATTTACAACTATATTTCTTTAGAATAAAATATAAAAGTATATAATTTTAACTCTAATTATATGAAAATTAAAAATAAAATATTCAGCCACATATCCAAAAAAAAAATACTTGGTCTTAGATCAGTACCTTTATTTCCTCTTTGTAATCAGCAATCCATTAAAAAAAACACTAAACTTTATTTACAAGTATATTTCTTTAGAATGAAATATAAAAGTATATAATTTTAACTCTACATATATAGAAATATTATAACATTGTGTTCCCCACTAGTAATCCGTTTAAAAAAAACTAAACATTATTTATAGATATATTTCTTTAGAATAAAACATAGAAAAATTTTTTTATAATTCTAAATATCTAAAATTATAACATTGTGACTTTAAAATATATATACATATACATATATGTCTATGAACTGGGATCTCAAACAATTTCTAGACAAAGGCAACTTATTTGTGTTACAGTATCTGAGAAATAAGAAATAGATTCTTAGAATTAATTCAGTTCCAAAATTCAACAGGTCTTCTTGACTCCTCTAAGTAAGTAAACATGGCTAAGACTGGCTTAACACACTGAAGTTTTAAGTTAATCTTTCACTGTTTAAGAAATTATTATCACAAATGCCTAAAAGATTTTTTTATTGATTTTTTTTTTGAGAGAGAGAAACATCAATATGAGAGTGAAACATCAATTGGCTGCCACCTGCACACCCCCTACCGGGGATCAAGAGCCCGAAACCCAGGCATGTGCCCTGACTGGGAATCGAACCAGTAACCTTTCAGGGCACAGGACAATGCCCAACCAACTGAGCCCCATTGGCCAGGGCTAAGAATATATTCTTTAGATCTGAACGGTATCATCTTTCTTTCTTTCCTTTTTTTTTTTTTTTGTAATAGCAATACCACTCTTTTTTTAAATGTTTGTATTGATTTTAAAGATAGAGAAAGGGAGAAGAAAGATAGAAACACCAACATTGATTGGCTGCCTCCTGCACACCCCTGCCAGATATCGAACCCACAACTCAGGCATGTGTTTTGACTGGGAATTGAATTGGTGGATGGGTCGATGCTCAACCACTGAGCCACACCAGCTGGGCAAGGTATCATCTTTCTTGACAATACTCTTCAAGCAATTCTCATGAAACACCACAATGTAACCAAATGCTATCAAAATAGTGTAAAAAATCCTAAGCACAGTTGATTCAATAGTATGGGTTCTCATCTCACTGTTTAATGAATGATTTCACAAAGATCTTCAAAAACAAAAGTGCTTTTTAAAAGACAGAGTGGATACCAAAAACTGTGTTTTATACTTCTGATTTAATTATATACAACTTCAACACAAGACTGATAGCCTGTCTTCATTAAGGATCTCGTATGTAAACAAATATAGTGTAGTTAGCTCTTCCAGATAAAAACAGAAATTACCAAGATCTGTTCCCTTGATCCCTGGTAAGACATGCTGCAGTTTACGTTCCAGTAGGCACTAAGGCTATCAAGTCGGATAAGCTATAAAAGAACAATTGAAAGAGGTCAAGCAACTAACACATTGAAGTTAAGAATCAATATTAAAAGATTATTCTCATGTTCAGTATCCCAAATTATCCAATTGCCATTTTGAGTTTATAAAGGAAAGAAAATAATGCAAAAATGGGGGAAATAATTGCTTCTCAGCCTTTTGGCCGAGATCAAGTGTAAAAATGAGAGGGAGGGGGTTTGTATGTTATTCTTAGACTTTATTATTAATCCAGCATTTGCTAAATTTTGCTTCCAGGAACACTATTTCAAATGGAATTCATTCATACAATTATCAAATATTTATTGAGAATTTACTATTTAATAGGCCCTGTACATGTTCTGCTAAAAAAAAAAAAAAAAAGGATATGATTTCTCCAGTCTCCAGTGGATAGGAATGGGTGTTTTGAGGGAGGCGTGAGGGGAGTGGATTCTATAATCAATAAGGTGGGGAAAGCTACTTACTAAATACCACTCTTGAATGTTCACAATGTTTATTAGTATATTTAAAGTATTCTGAAGTTCTGTAGTTTAAAAAAAAATGAAACATGCCTATTTAACTATGTACCAAATGCTTAATACTTTTAGTCAGTAATCTTACTTGACCAGAGAATATTTTTCTACAAATCTAATAATAAGTCAACTACCTAATGCTCCATAAAATACAATCTGGGATATGTTAATTTTATTCATTTTCTTTATATGTTAGGTGAAGAACCTAAACCTCAAAATAGGTAAGTGATTTTAGAAGGTCACACAGTAAGTAGCAGTGCCAAAACTGCTCTATCAAGGTTTCTTTAAGAAAATACATTAAGTGTTTGTACCTAGGAAATTCAAGAAATGTTTAATCCAGTCTAATACCTTGTATATAATTTTGTCTGCTTCATTTAACACACAAGGAGTCCAGTGTTCATTTGCAGTCTAAAAGAAAAAAAGAACTGTGAAATGAAATATATATATACACATATATATATCTCAAAATAGTACTCTAACATTTGTAAACTATAACTAAATAACTTAGGAAGAAAACACATAGAGCTAATGTTAGCTACTGTTAGCAATCTGTTTCTTTACATAACTTTATGACAAAATCAAAGGAATAACAGTAAAAATAGAATTGAAGACGTTCAAATTTAAATAAGTTAATCCACCCACAAAATAATTATTGAGTACTATGTGTCTGAAGTATGGAAGAAATTGGGTATGAATAAAAGCAGAGAGCTTGCCTATAAGCTATTGAAAAAGGTCCACTTCTTTTTTTTTTAAAGATCAAATAAATAATTATTGCAAAGTAAGAAGAAAACCAGAATATGGAAATCAAAGAATGACCATGTTTCCAGAAAATCAGCATGGTAAGCAATACTAAATTCTGTAATGAAAAAAAAACTAAATTAAACTTATTTGGCAGCCAGGGCATTACTGATGAACTTGTTAAGAACAGTTTCAATGGAGTAGCAGAGTCAGAGTACAGTAGGTAGGGAGTCAACAGGAGGTGGGGAAAGAAAGATAGCAAAGGTAGAAAATTCTCTTAGAAAGAAAAGAAAGAGAAGGCAGGTAGTTAGATGGTGCATGGGTGGAGCGGAAGAAGGTTAAAAAACAGGCTTTTTAGATAAGTATCACATGATCTCACTCATTTGTGGAATATAATGAACAACTGATGAACAAAAATAGATCCAGAGACGTAGAAGCATCAAACAGACCATCAAACCTCAGAGGGAAGGTGGGGGTGGGGGGTAAGGGGGTGCTGGTGAGGTATCAACCAAAGGACTTGTATGCATGCATATAAACATAACCTATGGACACAGACAATGGGGCGGGGGAGGGCA